TCCTAACTATATTTTACTCAAATAAAGATAGAGGCAAGACCTCACCTCAACCGCAAGGTTGAAATTTAAAAAAAAAATAAATATTTTATATAAATTTATTTTTTTTTTAAAAAAAAAAAATTAAATTTCTCTCTTATAAAAAATCAAAGTACTTTTTAGTTTTAATTAATTTTTTTTAAAAGTAAGTAATTAATTTATAAAATTTTATTAAGATGGAAGATAAAAAAGAAATTGTTGCATCTAATATCACTGAAACAATTAATATTGAAGATAAAAAAGAATTAAATAAAACAAAAATTATTTTATCTGATGAATATACTATCGAAATAATTAATATTGAAAATATTAATATCCCTTTAAAAGTTAGAAAAAACAGTTTATCAAATTTAAATAATCTTTTAAATCATAAAATTGATACTGAAATTAACTTTTATTCAAAAGAAAAAAAGTTTCATAATAATGTTATTAATTCTTGGGTTAAAGATTATTCTTTAAAAAATGATCATATTTTTGATACTACATTTACTGGAATCACTCATAATAATGAAAATTATAAGATTTTTTTATTGTATTTTCTTGAAAAAGAAGATGAAAATAATTATATTAAAATTGATGTAATTTTTAATATCGATGTAAAAGATTATATTAATGAAATTTTTTTATTAATTCTTAAAAAATAAAATATCATTTAGATGTCTTTTGTTGCACCATTTCAATATAATTAAGATAAAAAACAAGAACTTCAACAATTAATTGATGATGGTATCATTGAATTTAATTATGATATTGATTGTAATAGTTTCACTAAAGATGTAAATGAACATGAAAATGTAATTAATAGTTGGTTATCTTCTTATGGTGGAATTACTGGTTTAAAAAAAAAATTGAAAATATGCATACTTCCTCAAAACAAAAACTTTTTAAAAAAGTGTTGGCGTTACAGATATGGGTTCATGTAAATTTAAAGTAGTTCTTTTATGTTTTGATAAACCAAATAAGGATAATGAAAGATCTTATAGTAAATTAATCGCAATACTTTATCTTAAATCAAATGATGCTGAAGCAAAGAAAAAAATTATGGCTAATACTGAAGAATTAGCTGTATTAATTCTTGTTCGGGTAATGATACATATACTATTGAATAATTTTTATTTTTTTTCAATGTAATTTTTTTTATTCTTAAATATTTATCCAAATAAATCAATTCAAAATATTATTTCTTTATTTTTATTTATATAAAATATAAGATAAACAAATGTAGATATATACTAATTTAAAATTTCAATATTACATTTGCGTAAATCAAAACTATAATCATTTTTAAATTTGATCCTATCAATTCCAATATCTAAAAACATGTGATTAACAAAATATTTATCATTCTCATCAACAATATCTGTTTCTTTTTTATACCATTTATGAATTTTAATGATATTTTTAAATTCTTTATCTACAAGAAAATTCTGATTTTCTTTAAAATTTTCATCTTTTCCTTTCTTAGTCTTTCTCAAAACTTTAACTTGAAGATATTCAACAATATGACCTTCATTATCTGAATACATAATAGGTCTACGAAAATTTAATTGATAATCATCCTGCCACCAAGTATTGAAACTTTGTTTCTTATAATCTTGATCATTCTGTTCAAAATTACAAAGTTTAGACATTTTGATTACTAATAAAAAATTTAATCAGTTAAAAAAACTGATTAAATATATTCTATGTTTTTTGTCTGTTATTATTTTGATACGAAGTTCCCCTATCGTTGATATAGTTACGACCTAGTCTCAACTCGAATCATCATAGCAAACACACAAAAAACACTATGATCCCTCGATAATTTATTATCCTTGTTGTTGTAACCCTACAGAGCTTTCCACAAATGTGTGTGTTGTAGTTGTTCTTTTTCGTTAGAAACGTAAATGATTATTGATGAACGGCATCAGGCACAGGCTTGATGTTTTTAACAATAATCATAACGTTTGCTAGTTAAATTATTCTAAATACAAAAATAAAATACCAAGAATGTAATAAGTAAAATAATTTTTATTTATTTTATATTATATTTTCTCTTTTTTACATATACAAATTCTATTTCATTTGTTTGACTATCTATTAGATTTTTAATTCGTATACAAATTTCTTTGGGAGCTTTTAATTTTACAATTGATTCATGATAACACCAATTATTCTTTAACCATTTCTTGATTCGATTCTCACTAAGCATCAGGTAAATATTTTTGTTTCTTGTCTCAATCAATAACTTGTTTTTGTTATTATTTTCCTCTAATAATTGAAGTACACGTGTAAATTCTAGCAAGTATGAATCAGTTATATTTTCTGAGTCATCTTTTTTATTCTGTTTCTTGAAATAAAAATCTATCTTTTCTCTATTAGTCGATGAAAAATTAAAATCTTTTATATATTCTTTTAATGATCCTAAATATGCTAATTTATCTGCTTGTTCATTTTTATATATTCTTGAGTATCCTTTTACCTGATTAAAATATGTTTTTCCTTCTCTTTCTCTGATCAAATAATTCATTCTATTTACAAGATCAGAATTAATCTTAACATTTGTGTTATAACAATTTATAACATATGTACTATCAGTATTAATAGTTATATCCTGATTCTTATCACATATTTCTAATGCTCTTATCATAGCAAATAGCTCTGCTCGATTATTTGTTTGTTGTAAACCAGGTAATCTTTCTAATAAATTACATTGATCATTATCTGTAAAAAATACTCCAATACTTGCAATAGCTCTAGGTTTTCCATTATCTTTACAGTATCCATCTGTCCAAACTTTTAAATTATTTTTTTTATTAATATTTTGATTATTAATATATTCTAATACACATTGCTTTGTATCAAATTTTTTATACATAGCATTGGGATATTTATGAACTTGTTCTTTACATTTATTCCAAAATAAATATAATCCTGAATTATGTCCAACATGAACAGCATAATACTCTAATGTTGAATAATATTTAATTGGAAGCATCATGTAGTAATTATATGGTTACATAATACAATAAGGATAATAAATTATCGAGAGATCAGAGTAAGAGTTAGTAATAAAGTAAGAAAAATGAATAATTAAACAATATACAGTTTGGAGCTCTCTTACTTTAATAATTTAATGAATTAAAAGTCTGTCTAGTTTTCTTTTGAAACTAAACAGAGATAAAGGTAAAAATTAGGTCTTTATATAATCATTCAAAGCTAAGCCACAATTTCAAAAGCTATAAAAGATTGATAAAATATCTGATATGTAAAGAAAATGGTAAACATAAAATTTACACAGTATCAGAAATTTGATAATAATAAAGAAATTAAGATTCTAGATTATGCTGAGATCATAAAATTCTATAACAAATTTGAGAAATCTACTCAATTCAAAGAACGTATCTTGGATCATGAATTTGATTTTGAAAAATTAATAAAGCATATAAATACTAAATTTAATAATCATACTCTTGATAATTCATCTTTAATCTATAATTTGAATATTGAAATCATAGAAATAGTTAATATGTTAGTATTAACTGAAACTGTTAAATTTAAATTTAATATTTATATTATAGAATATATATTTTATTAAATTTCTTCAAAATAAAGTATACAAATACTGCAAAGAGGATATCTTCCAAAATTTCTTCCACTAATAATATGAATATTTATACAATAAGTTAAATTTCTACAAATTCTACAAACATGTTTTCTATAATTATTAAATTTATCTGCTCTGATAAATCTATAATCTCCTTGAAATCCTTTCAAATAAAATTCTCTAGCAGAATTTGTTCGAAGCATCATACGTTTTTGTGTTTGTTCTGCATTAAAAGTTACATATATTTTATCACTTTTATCAGATTTTAAATTGTAATTATATATTGTTGGAGGTGTAAAACTATCAATATTATACTTTTCAATAAGATAGTATTTTATCAATCGAGTTTTGAAAATTAATTCATATGCTTTATACCAATCCTAACAAACTAACTTACAATTATTATATTTTACTTCTAATAATGATATTCTCAAAGGAAGATACATCGATAATATTAAATATATAATATCATATACTTATTTTGGTATCTTTTTATTTCTTTTAATTCTTTTCTTTCGTGATAATTTAATTTTTTCTCTTCTCTGTTCATTTAACAAATATGATTTTTCTGGAAATTTTCCCATGATTATATAATTAAATTCTTGTTTGGTGTAAAATACTAAACAAGTTATGATACTCTGAATATATTACTATTTCGAAGTACTATAAGAATATCTTTTTTATATGAATTAAAACACTCTAAACAAAGCATATGATGATGTACAAACATTCCAATATTATTAAATGTGAACATTAGATTTCTCACATTGCTCATAGGACATGTTGTGATATCACAGCAGTTGTTATTTATCATCTAATTTGCATTGCAGAATTTTAATTCTCTATACTTATCAAAATTCATTTTCTAATATTATCTATATCTGTTACATATGCTAAATTTATTCTATTAGATTCAAAATTATGTTTATTTATAGGTAAACAATATCGTATTCCTGAATTTCCATCATGATATATTCGCTTTCATATAAACTTTGGCTTATTACATGTGATTTTGTTTATCTTACAGAATTGACATTCTCATGTTATATCACAATAATATCAACATCATCTATATTCCTTACATCTCACATATTTACTATCAAATAATACCATATTTTTCTTTTCAACTTCTTCGATTTTTATAAATTTTATTTGTAATAGATTAAATATATTTAACATATTATTTACATACCTATTATAGTATTGTAGATTAGATATCACTAGTTGATAACATTTGTACTATAAAAACTTGTTTACTCTACCTAATCTATATTGGTTTTTCTGATCTGGTAGTTCTTCAAAAATCTTGATATTAATTCTAAAGGTAATGATAATGTAATTTTCATTTTTTATCATTAAATATTTAATTTCTTTGTTGGTTATATTTATAACTAACAAAGTTACACAAAAATTTATTTTTCACAGATAAATTTTAAACTCTTGTAGAATCTTTCTTCATCTTTAAATTTTTCATATAAACTCATTGTATTATGTTCAATCTCTATAATACTTTTTTTAAAACCTAGCTTTGCAGATTTTTCAAATAAATTAAGCATCAATCTTTTTTTTTTAAAATATTCATGACAAGTTCCTAAATGATATAAAATAATAGGATAACTTTGTTTTACTTGATTCTTTGTTATATATTTTGAATATTTCTTCTTCGTGATAGTATAAAGACTTTTTTTACAAAAATTATAACTTTTCATACAAACACTATATTATTTTCAACTATCATGAATTTTCTAAAATCTTTTTTCGAATATCTGTAATATTTTAAAAATAATAAGTAAGTAATACAATTTCTCTATAAAAATATTCTTAACCTTTGCTTCACATCATAATTATAACCTCTTTTCTATTCAATATCTAAATAGATTTCATATACTTGATTAAATAGCTTTTCCATTTTTTTATAAATAATATAATTCCTTGTTGGTTATAATTATAACTAACAAATAAAAAATTTCTACTTAAAAGGATTATGTAAAAATGTTAATCTGCTAACAAGTATAGATACATCTTTAAGTTTAGTCTGTAGTATATCATAAAAATTTACTTCTAGTTTTTTAAACTGCTTATTAATTATATTTGGATATTTGATCTTGAAACAAGATTCACATATTTTGTATGAATGAAAATATTTCTTTGGCCATGTACAAGTTTTACATATACTATAATTATAAGAAGTATTAAATTTCTTACAATTTACACATAATCCAAAATCTTCTTTGTCACATATCTTACAATTCTTAGTTTCATAATGATTTACACAATATTTAAGCTTCTGACAATATTCATAAATCTTTTTGAATAATTTATCCAATTTATCAAGATCATATCTGTAAATAAATCCAATTTCTGATAAACTTCTACAACAAGGAACTCTTTCTTCATCTCGAAAAATCTTTCTCTTTTCTTCATGATAAAATGTAATAAAATTATTTTTTATACTTATTACTTTATAGGTACTAATTTCTAAATGTCCAAAATATCCAAAAAATCTATGCTTGTCTGGATTAACTAAATAGTCACTATACTTTAATAAAACAAATCGAAATTTTTTAACCGGAAAAGAAAAATTTATACAAAACAACTGTTCCTACAAGAGTTCTTTTACATAACTACAAAAAATTTAGGT